CTTATGAAAATAAGGTATTTCAGTTTTGATATATTTAATACATTTGCAAAAATTTCTAAAAACCTGTTTTCGCTTTGTAATTATGTGGTATTGTGTGTAGATTGAGGAGGAAAATGTTTTATTTAATAAATTTTAGAATAAGACTAACATAACAAAATGTGCAAAAAGTCAAGGGGTCTGAATACTTTCCGAATGCACTGTATATTTACGTTTACACAGTCATAAACAAAACATTATCAGAGTTGGCTAATTCATTTAGAGAAATGTTGTTGTTGTCACTCACATGTTGAAGAGCTTTGACAGCTTTGATCTGAGGCTCTGCCCAGGAGAAGTACTTCAGCATGTCCATTACCTGGAGGAAGAAGGGGAGGGGTTAGCATGTCCATTACCTGGAGGGAGAAGGGGAGGGGTTAGCATGTCAATTACCTGGAGGGAGAAGGGGAGGGTTAGCATGTCTCTGTGACCGGTTGTCCTTCATCAACCTTCTTTCTGAATGGCTGTCCTTGATCAACCTTCTCTGTGACCGGCTGTCATTCATTAACCTTCTCTGTGACTGGCTGTCCTTGATCAACCTTCTCTGTGACCGGCTGTCATTCATTAACCTTCTCTGTGACTGGCTGTCCTTCATCAACCTTCTCTGTGACCGGCTGTCATTCATTAACTTTCTCTGTGACTGGCTGTCATTCATTAACCTTCCCTGTGACCAGCTGTCATTCATTAACCTTCTCTGTGACCGGCTGTCCTTCATCAACCTTCTCTGTGACCGGCTGTCCTTCATCAACCTTCTCTGTGACTGGCTGTCATTCATCAACCTTCTCTGTGACTGGCTGTCATTCATTAACCTTCTCTGTGACTGGCTATCATTCATTAACCTTCTCTGTGACTGGCTGTCCTTCATCAACCTTCTCTGTGACTGGCTGTCCTTCATCATCCTTCTCTGTGACCGGCTGTCATTTATTTTTTATTTAACCTTTATTTAACTAGGCAAGTTCTTCTTATTTACAATGACGGCCTACACCGGCCAAACCCGGACGACGCTGGGCCATTTGTGCGCCGCCCTATGGGACTCCCCAATCACGGCCGGTTGTGATACAGCCTGGAATCGAACCAGGGGGTCTGTAGTGACGCCTCAAGCACTGAGATGCAGTGCCTTAGACGGCTGCGCCACTCAGGAGTCATTCATAAAATATGCCATTTAGCAGACGCTTTTATCCAAAGCAACTTACAGTCATGTGCGCATACATTTTTACGTATGGGTGGTCCCGGGGATCGAACCCACTACCCTGGCGTTACAAGCGCCATGCTCTACCAATTGAGCTACAGAGGACCATTCATCAACCTTTACTGTGACTGGCTGTCATTTATCAACCTTCTCTGTGACTGCAGTCATTCATCAACCTTCTCTGTGACTGGCTGTCATTCATTAACCTTCTCTGTGACCGGCTGTCATTCATTAACCTTCTCTGTGACTGGCTGTCAATCATCAACTGTTACGTGTGACATGTTTTTCTTTCTCCCAATCTTCCTTTGTAGTGTGTGTGTGGTTCAGAGTGGTTGCTCTGTTTGTGTGTTCTGGTCATTACAGGTGTGCTGAGTTGCGGCTGACGATGTTGGGCGTGGCTTCGGTCCGGAGTCCTGGCAGCTGTGGTTAAGTGACTGATTGACTAGAGTATATGAACTGTTTGCCGTGTGAGAGAGAGAGAGAGGGGACACTTTTTGTTTGGCTGAGGATTTGGTTGTTTTGATTTATCTTTGTTTGTGTTCCAGCCTGTCCACCTGATGTATTCCACCCTACCTGGGTTCCTGGAAGGGAAGGTAGTTCTGCCCATGGTGTACATCACCCGAGATACCCACTGTTTTAAAACACACTAGGTAGCCGGGGGCGGGTGTCACCCCTGTATTTGTGGTAACAGGTAGGAAAGTGGGTTAGGGCTTAGAGTGTGTTAGGAAGGATTAGGTGTGTAGAAGATGAGGGACCTTTTGTTTATTGTCATTACTTGGACCCCGTTCCCAAACATTCCCTTCTCTTACCATCCCTGGTTTGTTTGATTGGTCTTTGTTTTACTACTGTTTCTTTATGGGTGTTGTATATTATGTTGTTCAGTACCTTACTAAACGACCCCAGAGGGGTAACATTGAGTTCTGGTTGTTGTGTCTGGTTATTTTAGTTCGTTACACCCCACATTTTTTCGGCATCCATCTAGTTTACATTGTGTGCGCAGGCACGGGCATTTACGTCTCCTCCTCAGACGAGCTACACCCGAGGGGAGAACGTAACATCAACCTTCTCTGTGAACTGGCTGTCAATCATGAACCTTCTCTGTGACTGGCTGTCATTCATCAAACTTCTGTTTGCTAGCTACTGTACCTGCTCGCTGGAGAAGTACCCGTGCACCTGCTCTATCGCCTTGATCCGCTGATCTGTTAGCACGCACTGCAGAGAGAGAAGGACCAATAGAAACAGTTGGAAATGACTCCTAGTGTACATAATCAGTCAGTGGTGTGGATACTGTCTGCTATGCTCTCCATAGCCAACTAGCTGACAAGTGAACCAGAATCTGGGCTTATAGGAGGTGATGAATATGGCGATTCTCCTTCAAGCCAGTCAACTTGCCATTCACCAGCTTTTCAAGCTTAATGATAAAGTATTTTGATAAAAGTATTTGACACATTTCTATCGTCACTATGTACCAAAAAGGTCTAAATAAAAAGATGCATATAACTGGAAAAAATGCCTGGAAAGAATTTAAGTATTGTTTTTACCAAGCGTGCATGGCCAAATCCTTTTCTGTACCTCAAATAAAATCACTAATTAAGCACAGGTTGGCTGATCCAGCAGCAGGGTTGATTTGATCACCTACAACAGTATGAACGTCATACCAATCTGTTTTCACACGCGCTTCTTGGAATACAATAATATTTCATGTAAGTAGACAATATAGGGTACGTTTTACAGTGATTGTATAGTTGTAGATAGGATAGGCTTTATTTAGTGTATTTTAATTCCATGACTAATATTGCAGGAGGTGCAGAAGAGGTGGATTTGGCTCATGAGCACTTGGTCAAAAACAATCCTTAAGGCTTTTATTTTTTATTTTAAATCTTTTTTGGAAGTACATACCGGTCGTAACGGCAGTAAAGACGATAGTTGGTCAGCGAAACATTATTTGGTAAGTACCGAAAGTATTTTAACATTATCAAGCTTGAAAAGCTGGTGAATGGCAAATTGAATGGCTGCTTCATCGGCTTAAAGGAGAATCGCCATTTTCAGTCTCCTGAGTCCTGTAAACCCATATTCTCGTTCAGCTGAAAAAGTCGTTTACGTGGAAAAGTAATTTAGCCACTTTGGTTAACTGAACCCAACTTACCTTCCTGATTTCGTCTAAGACGATGTCGAATGATTTCTTATCCATGTTTGATTGGATAACACGATCTCGGATTCTCCCCTCTTCAGTGTTCTTACTCCTTGATAAATAGCAACCTGGCTGGCTCGCTTGAGTCAGTGGACGTGAGTTAGCTAACGTTACAGTACAATCAATATAACTGACATAATCTCAAAACGGACAAACTACCGGTAGCTAACTATTAAAATAGAGCTATACACTTCATAATGCGGCTTTAAGACAAAGTATATTCACAAATAGCACATTATTTGCAACGTTTTCTTTGTTGTCCTCGTTCAAATCTATTGCTAGCAAGAAAGTGCTGCAAAGCTGTGTAGACTGGCTACTTGACAGCTTGGCTAACGTTAGCTTAACTCTGCAGTTTATGATATCCCCCGAGCAGAAAGGGTCAAATGCTCTATGGAAAATGAAGACATCAATTAATTCATCCAACCGAAGCGTTTGACAATGTCTATCGTATGTACATTAGTTTATCGACATATTTTGAACTGTACAAACAGCCACAATAAACTAAGCCGCTAACACCGCTGCGACACTTCCTTTGCTAGGACCCCATTCAAAAACATGAGTAAAAATATCACTTTCTCAGAACATATATTTTTATTCAAAGTGGAACTATATATTAACACAAATTATGATGCGACCATTGTATTCTGACATTTTATGTAGGCAGAAACTGTGAAATAATCGATTTATTGTTAATGTTTTCGATCAGGCAGCTGGGCGGGGCACAAACAGGCACATGTTTGAACACCCTTGAGGAAGTAGACACAAAAATGTCGTCGGATCTGTGAGAAGTTGGCAAATATTTATTTATACTTATATTTTGTGTTGATGCAAGTAAAATGGACAGATTCACATGGTCAAATGGTCTTCTGGAAATGAATGAAACGTTGGTGATTCAACAACGAGGTGTCAAACTTTATGACGGAGAAGACAAGGTATGACGTTAACTAGCTCATATTGCCAGGCAAGGAAGACTGCTAGCTACCTAAATTGGTAACGTTACATGCTTAGCTAGCCATCTAGCTAAATGTGTTTTTAGGAAATAGTGGAATAAATCTAGTTAACTAGCTAAACGGAAATACAATGACTTCACTAGTTGCATGGGCGTGTTTTTGCCTTGCCAAACATGTTTACGGGTTATTGTTGATGTTTACAACAGTGCTGTCAGACTAAATACACATTTCTGCCTGCCCCATATCTGACAATTTGTTGTCCCTCTCTCGCTCTGTTTTTCCACAAGGCCAAGTTGGATGTTGGAATTGCTCTGCTGAGTACTCACCAGTTAATATGGAGGGACCTGAAGAATAATGTACAGTGACACTTTATATATACAATCTATGGGTGACACCCACCACAGCTATATTAGCCAGTGTGATCTTTGATGCTTTTCTTGACCTTTTCCATGTTCCTAATAAGATGGCCTATATTATTTACTCTCTTAACACACACGTGTGTGTGTGTGTGTGTGTGTGTGTGTGTGTGTGTGTGTGTGTGTGTGTGTGTGTGTGTGTGTAGGAATGCTGCATAGCCATACCCCTTTCTCAGATCATCTACTTTGAGGAACAAGCTGCGGGTATCGGAAAGAGGTGACTCCTAATTAAACCATGTAGCCTATTGAAACAATACCCACCACTTTGTAGCATATACATATTGCAGACATTCAGGATTTGTTGTTCAGAAGTGTTGTGAAATGTGACTTATGACTGAATATGATTTAGAATGCGTGAATATAATTTATACTGAACAAAAATATAAACAAATGTACAGTTCATATAGGGAAATCAGTCAATTGAAAAATTCATTAGGCCCTAATCTATGGATTTCACATGACTGGGTAGCGGTGCAGCCATGGGTGGGCCTGGGAGGGCATAGGCCCACCCACTGGGGAGCCGGGCCCAGCCAATCAGAATGAGTGTTTCCCCACAAAAGGGCTTTATTACAGACAGAAATACTCCTCAGTTTCATCAGCTGTCCGGGTGGCTGGTCTCAGATGATCCCGCAGGCGAAGAAGCCGGATGTGGAGGTCCTGGGCTGGTGTGGTTACACGTGGTTTGCGGTTGTGAGGCCGGTTGGACGTACTGCCAAATTCTCTAAAACGATGTTGGAGGTAGAATTCTCTAAAACGATGTTGGAGGCAGCTTATGGTAGAGAAATGAACATTCAATTCTCTGGCAACAGCTCTGGTGGACATTCCTGCAGTCAGCATGCCAATTGCATGCTCCCTCAACTTGAGACATCTGTGGCATTGTGTTGTGTGACAAAACTGCACATTTTAGAATGGCCTTTTTTTGTCCCCAGCACAAGGTGCACCTGTGTAATGATCATGCTGTTTAATCAGCTTCTTGATATGCCACACCTGTCAGGTGGATGGATTATCTTGGCAAAAGAAAAATGCTCACTAACAGGGATGTAAACTAATTTGTGCACAACATTTTAGAGAAATACGCTTTTTGTGCGTATGGAACATTTCTGGGATCTTTTACTTCAACTCATGAGACATAGGACCAACACTTAACGTTGCGTTTTATATTTTTGTTCAGTTTATAATACGTGAATATGATTTATAATGAGGGAATATGATTTATAATGAAAGTGGTCATCTTTAGCTCAGTTGGTAGAGCACGGATATTGGGTTCGATTCCCAGGACCACTCATATGTAAAATGTATATACGCGGGACTACTGTAAGTCACTTTGGATAAAAGTGTCTGCTAAATGGCTATTATTATTATTCTTATATTAGTTGACTGTGCTTTCATCATTGATATATGACAGAACATCCCCTCTCTCTCGCTGTATCTGACCCTGCAGTGCCAAGATTGTGATCCACCTGCACTCTGCCCCGGCCAATAAGGAGCCAGGACCCTACCAGCAGAGCAAGTTCTCCTACATCAAATTGTCCTTCAAAGAGCATGGACAGATAGAGGTGGGTCGACAGTAGCAGTCATTTATTATTACTGTTATTATTATATGTAGGCCGTATTTACATTTACATATACATCATTTAGCAGATGCTCTTATCCAGAGCGGCTTACAGATAGTGCAGTCGTCGTACTTGGTAGTCCATAGTAGTTTAGTGTTATTAATGGCTGTATTTGGCAAGTAAAGGCTGAATTACAGTACACAACACATAGTAGCTAGTGACACTGAGAGAAATACCGTTGGATACTGGCTAGTGATACTGTGATGAGAGTAATACCGTTGGATACTGGCTAGTGACACTGAGAGAAATACCGTTGGATACTAGCTAGTGACACTGAGAGTAATACCGTTGGATACTAGCTAGTGATACTGTGAGTAATACCGTTGGATACTAGCTAGTGATACTGTGAGAAATACCGTTGGATACTAGCTAGTGATACTGTGAGTAATACCGTTGGATACTAGCTAGTGATACTGTGAGTAATACCGTTGGATACTAGCTAGTGATACTGTGAGTAATACCGTTGGATACTAGCTAGTGATACTGTGAGTAATACCGTTGGATACTAGCTAGTGATACTGTGAGAAATACCGTTGGATACTAGCTAGTGATACTGTGAGTAATACCGTTGATATAGCTAGTGACACTGAGAGAAATACCGTTGGATACTAGCTAGTGATACTGTGAGTAAAACCGTTGGATACTGGCTAGTGACACTGAAGTAATACCGTTGATACTGGCTAGTGACACTGAGTAATACCGTTGGATACTAGCTAGTGCTACTGTGAGTAATACCGTTGGGTACTGGCTAGTGACACTGAGAGTAATACCGTTGGATACTGGCTAGTGACACTGAGAGTAATACTTGGATCTAGCTAGTGATACTGTGAGTAATACCGTTGGATACTGGCTATGACACTGAGAGAAATACCGTTGGATACTAGCTAGTGATACTGGAGAAATACCGTTGGATACTAGCTAGTGATACTGTAGAAATCCGTTGGATACTAGCTAGTGATACTGTGAGTAATACCGTTGGATACTAGCTAGTGATACTGTGAGAAATACCGTTGGATACTAGCTAGTGATACTGTGAGTAATACCGTTGGATACTGGCTAGTGATACTGTGAGTAATACCGTTGGATACTGGCTAGTGACACTGAGAGTAATACCGTTGGATACTGGCTAGTGACACTGAGAGTAATACCGTTGGATACTGGCTAGTGACACTGAGAGTAATACCGTTGGATACTGGCTAGTGACACTGAGAGAAATACCGTTGGATACTGGCTAGTGACACTGAGAGTAATACCGTTGGATACTGGCTAGTGACACTGAGAGTAATACCGTTGGATACTGGCTAGTGACGCTGAGAGTAATACCGTTGGATACTGGCTAGTGATACTGTGATGAGAGTAATACCGTTGGATACTAGCTAGTGATACTGTAAATATGTGATGAGTAATACCGTTGGATACTGGCTAGTGACACTGTGAGAAATACCGTTGGATACTGGCTAGTGACACTGAGAGTAATACCGTTGGATACTGGCTAGTGACACTGAGAGTAATACCGTTGGATACTGGCTAGTGACACTGAGAGAAATACCGTTGGATACTAGCTAGTGACACTGAGAGAAATACCGTTGGATACTGGCTAGTGACACTGTGATGAGAGTAATACCGTTGGATACTGGCTAGTGACACTGTGAGAAATACCGTTGGATACTGGCTAGTGACACTGTGATGAGAGTAATACCGTTGGATACTGGCTAGTGACACTGTGATGAGAGTAATACCGTTGGATACTAGCTAGTGATACTGTAAATATGTGATGAGTAATACCGTTGGATACTGGCTAGTGACACTGTGAGAAATACCGTTGGATACTGGCTAGTGACACTGTGAGAAATACCGTTGGATACTGGCTAGTGACACTGTGATGAGAGTAATACCGTTGGATACTGGCTAGTGACACTGTGAGAAATACCGTTGGATACTGGCTAGTGACACTGAGAGTAATACCGTTGGATACTGGCTAGTGACACTGAGAGTAATACCGTTGGATACTGGCTAGTGACACTGAGAGTAATACCGTTGGATACTGGCTAGTGATACTGTGATGAGAGTAATACCGTTGGATACTAGCTAGTGATACTGTAAATATGTGATGAGTAATACCGTTGGATACTGGCTAGTGACACTGTGAGAAATACCGTTGGATACTGGCTAGTGACACTGAGAGTAATACCGTTGGATACTGGCTAGTGACACTGAGAGTAATACCGTTGGATACTGGCTAGTGACACTGAGAGAAATACCGTTGGATACTAGCTAGTGACACTGAGAGAAATACCGTTGGATACTGGCTAGTGACACTGTGATGAGAGTAATACCGTTGGATACTGGCTAGTGACACTGTGAGAAATACCGTTGGATACTGGCTAGTGACACTGTGATGAGAGTAATACCGTTGGATACTGGCTAGTGACACTGTGATGAGAGTAATACCGTTGGATACTAGCTAGTGATACTGTAAATATGTGATGAGTAATACCGTTGGATACTGGCTAGTGACACTGTGAGAAATACCGTTGGATACTGGCTAGTGACACTGTGAGAAATACCGTTGGATACTGGCTAGTGACACTGTGATGAGAGTAATACCGTTGGATACTGGCTAGTGACACTGTGAGAAATACCGTTGGATACTGGCTAGTGACACTGTGATGAGAGTAATACCGTTGGATACTAGCTAGTGATACTGTAAATATGTGATGAGTAATACCGTTGGATACTGGCTAGTGACACTGTGAGAAATACCGTTGGATACTGGCTAGTGACACTGAGAGTAATACCGTTGGATACTGGCTAGTGACACTGAGAGTAATACCGTTGGATACTGGCTAGTGACACTGAGAGTAATACCGTTGGATACTGGCTAGTGATACTGTGATGAGAGTAATACCGTTGGATACTAGCTAGTGATACTGTAAATATGTGATGAGTAATACCGTTGGATACTGGCTAGTGACACTGTGAGAAATACCGTTGGATACTGGCTAGTGACACTGAGAGTAATACCGTTGGATACTGGCTAGTGACACTGAGAGTAATACCGTTGGATACTGGCTAGTGACACTGAGAGAAATACCGTTGGATACTAGCTAGTGACACTGAGAGAAATACCGTTGGATACTGGCTAGTGACACTGTGATGAGAGTAATACCGTTGGATACTGGCTAGTGACACTGTGAGAAATACCGTTGGATACTGGCTAGTGACACTGTGATGAGAGTAATACCGTTGGATACTGGCTAGTGACACTGTGATGAGAGTAATACCGTTGGATACTAGCTAGTGATACTGTAAATATGTGATGAGTAATACCGTTGGATACTGGCTAGTGACACTGTGAGAAATACCGTTGGATACTGGCTAGTGACACTGTGAGAAATACCGTTGGATACTGGCTAGTGACACTGTGATGAGAGTAATACCGTTGGATACTGGCTAGTGACACTGTGATGAGAGTAATACCGTTGGATACTGGCTAGTGACACTGTGAGAAATACCGTTGGATACTGGCTAGTGACACTGTGATGAGAGTAATACCGTTGGATACTGGCTAGTGACACTGTGAGAAATACCGTTTGGATACTGCTAGT